TCATCAAGCACTACCTCATTTGATTTCTTTTCCTTCCACGATACTCTTAACAGTCTCGGCCTAAGAAACCACATTTCTGTTGCTTCAATTTTATTTTCACTGCCTTTAGTGATTGTCCAACTTTCACAGCCATATAGAATGGTTGACCAAACATAGCACTTCAGGACTTTCATTTTGGTGTACATTGACATGTTTCTATTTTTCAGGATTGGGCTCATTTTATTGAGACTAGCCTTAGCCTATGTAGTTCTCTTTTTTATTTCTGTGGAACATTTGGCGTCAGATGTTATCATATATCCTAGATATTTAAACTGTTAGACTTGTTTGATCTTTTCACCTTTGCTAATGAGATTACAAATAGGGTTTGCTGCTTTTTTTTGCTTATTACCATGCATTCTGTTTTCTTTACATTCAACAATAATCCTTTACGTTCACTTTCTGTTACAACAGTATCTAGAATCAGTTGAAGGTCCTTTTTGGAGCCTGCTATTAAAACTGTGTCATCTGCATACCTGATGGTATTAATATTTTTTTCTATTTACTTTGAGGCCTGGACATTCTTCTATGTTTCTAAGGATTGCTTCACTGTACATGTTAAAGAGGTCTGGTGACAATACACATCCTTGCCTCACTCCTCGCCTGATCTGCTTATATTCACTGTATTTTCCATTGATTCGTACAGCAGCGTTTTGGTCCCAGTACAAATTTCTGATAATTCTTAGATCTTTTCCATCTATGTCCAGCTTTTCCAGTACTTTAAATAGCTCATCATGTCAAACTTTATCAAACGCCTTTGAATAATCTATGAAGCATAAATGAAGATCTTTCTGTGCTTCATTACATCTTTCCATTAACATTGTTAAGGTGAATGTAGCATTTCTGGTGCCTTAGTCAGGAACAAAGCCGAACTGTGTTTTAGATATCTCTGGTCTTACACTTTTTCTCAATCTTCCCATTATTACTCGCAGCAATATTTTTGTAAAATGACTCTTGCGGCAAACTGTTCTATGCATATCACACTCAGTGACACCTGAGTTGGCATCTGTATCTACATATATATATATATATTTCAAAGGTGTGGAAACAGTGCACACGGCTATTTAACGGAAACCTCACTTGTTTACAATGGCGTCTTAGAAGACGGACTTTCCCAAGATTAGATCTAAACGAAACTAATGAAAACTCAAAATTAAACTACAGTGACTTCAGGCTCCTCAATAGAACTGTGCACCCTTTAAATGATTCTGAATGACTATTCATTTTTGTCAAATTCGAAAGTAAAGTAGTTCCGAAGCTTTAGGCGGCCAAAGTGACGGACTGTCACAAATGTATATGTATATATTATATTATTATATTGTTTGAGGCAGAGGTTGGGGCGGGGGAGTTGAAAGAAGCTTCCAATAATCATTGAATGCTACATGTATATTAAAGGAAACAGAAGGAAGATGTGAAATAACGGACATCGTACCTTATCAAAACCAGCAGCAGAAGTACAAAAACTATAAGAGGCATCGAGAACAGCAACAATTTCCTGTTGAAGCATGCCAATGATTGTTTGTCGGTTCAGTTGAACCTTCTCTCGTGTAGCTTACCCTTTTTGGCATTGTTTGCATCCTTGTAAACGGCTTCGAATAGGACGTCGTTGCCTTTGTCCATCGTCAGTTCCAGCTCGGAGTGTTTATTGCGAACGTTCCAGACTCCCAGGCCGAGGTCTAAGCCTTCTGCCCCAGGAAATGCGTCAAACACGTTAGTTTTAGAGCTATACACCTGAGGAAAGTAAACAACAACAAAAACTACGTGAATGTATCGTACTTACAAAAGGTTTCAGTTCGTGAAAAGTTTTACAACGCTCGCAGCAACATAAGATCAAGAGAGCGCACGAACCTCAAGTTGGCTGCTCCATGTTTGTCCAAGGCTTGGCTCTGTCTTACTTTATGTTTGAAGTTAACCAATTGTTATAAAAATTCTGTAATATACTCGAACAAAAAAGTCAAGGAACAAACATTCAAAGAAAGATAACAGAAAAACAGTTTAACCGACATTATTCAGTTTTTCAAAAAAAGATGCATTCGACTATTTAAATTAAGGGG